GGGTGGGGTGTCTTTTCTGCATCCAAGTAAAAAAACATGTTCTCTTTTAATTGGGATGAGGTATTTTGGCAGAGGTTGATAACTTGTTACCGGGCACTTGCAAAAACATCTGACTTGGTTTGATTGCCTCCTACTTATTTCTTGTTTGTTCCTAATAAATAGAGAATGAAAATGTCCAGGGAAAAATTGTATTTAGACAATCTTATGTTGCACGTTGTCCCTGTTGACAAAGCTTTGTTGTGTGGTTGTTTTTTTTAAAGTTCCTTTCAAAAGATAAAATTATTTTCTTATCACTGTAGTTGGCCTTACATTTTCTGAGGTGCCACCATGCTTTCAACTTGAGTACTGGGAACGTGGTCTGCACCTTAAAATATTCAGCTTTCTAGGAGTTTAGAAAATTTTCATGTATAAGTATTAAACTTGTTCACTTCTAGGTTTGGAATTGAATTTAAATTAAAAAAAACAAAACACCTAAAATGTGTAAGAAAATTTAGAATAATTTCTATGAATTCAAAGAAAAATGGGAATCTTGAGTAAATGCTAAAACAAAATTTTCATGAAATAATTGAATAAGGATTGATAGCCGCAGTTAAGGCTGAAATCATCATCAATATTACATGGATTACAAACGTACATGTGGGGCACTATTAGACAAGAGTAAGAATGCAGAAAAAAAAGGTTTGCATTGCTTCTGCTGTGAAGGAATGCCACCTATTATTTATATTCATTATTGATAGAACTGTAGAAAATTGGAAAAGAGCACAGGAGATTTTTCACCTTACTTATTTAATGTATTTTAAATCTTTCTTGTTGAACAATGTACCTGTGCAGTATTAAATTTTCCTAAACCTGATTTAATTTTGAATTTAGGGCCACTTTGAACAGCGGATGATACTGGTTTATCTCCAGAGATAATTTCTAATCTTTTTCCTTTTTTTTTTTTTTTTTTTTTTTAATTTCTCAATCTGTGATACTAAACAATGCTTATGCATGTGAAGGTCAACTGCTGAGTAATAATTGTTTAAAAACTCTGTAGATCATCTGCCATATCTAAAAGAGATTTAGAAAAACTTTGGTTGGTATGGCTTATTCTTCTGACTTGACAGGTAGAGGTCGATTGATATTGCTGGTCAGTTGGACCATGGCAGTATGGGATTGAATTTTTGGATTATGCTTTTGCCTTTGTGCACTAAAACACTTAATATGTTGTGCTAATAGTACATTTCATCATATACAAGGCTACTATCTGTGATGTCTTACTAATTGGCAAGTCATAAAGGTACCAGATTTGCAGTCACTATAGGTATGTAAAATGCAATAACCTTCAATAGCGTCACTGACACAGATATGAAGGAAAAAATATTAATGAGGAGTGTGCTTGTACTATTCAGGTGATTCTATTCCGCCTTCCCTCTTGCCTTTAAGGAACACACACAAAGTGAAGATTAATGGATACCCTTTTAAATGATGTAGGAATTATTTGAATTGCAGTGTTTTACACAGTAGTTCTTTATATGTATAAACTGTCTGTTTTATGTTTCTAGTGACTTGACAATCCCTACTATTGTTGTATTGAATACCTCCAATCAGCAGTATTTTCTACCAGATAGGCACATTGAGAACACAGAAGACATGGTTCAGTTTATTAACAATATCTTGGATGGTACAGCTGAAGTAAGTCTTCATTGTGACTTGGAATATGTTGGTTGGTGTTTATTTCCTTAGATGCTAAAGCAGGAAAAAAAATTTGGTTACTCTGATTGTTACTCCATGTGTTTTATTTTCCTGTCCTGTCTTTCTTGGGATCTGTCAGTGAATGCGTGATTGTGAATTTTTGAGGTGTGCCTTTGCTCGCTGTTCTAACTGCAGAACCTCTTGTAGAAAGCAAGCTTTTTTTTCTAGCATAATGTTAGCTAACTTCTCTTGATATTCCTTTTACTGGTGTCACTGGTAAATGGAGAGCTTTTTATTCATCTCCTGGTTTGCTTTAAATGCATTTGTTTAAATTTTTCTTTATAGTGTATAATTCAACTCAAACCTCTCTTTTGGGAGATAAATTAATAAATCCGATAGCTTGATGAATGACAGGTTCAGATTAAAAAAACAGTGGTATACTTTCTTTGCATATTACAAACACACTTACCCCTCTCTCTCTGCTCTAAAACTAAAAATGAGCTGTCTTTTGTTAAAACAACAAAATTAATAAATCCATCTGGAATTGATGGCTTGGACAATTTTTTAATATTGGCAAAACAAACTCAGGTTTGCTTATTCCCTCTGCGTACGGTAAGTTGGACAGAAGGCTATGTTGTGTGCATGAAGAAAGAGATCATGGATCAGAGTTTTCATTTGCTGTTATGGGGCAAGAAGGCTTTGCCATGAAGGGGAGCAGTGCCAACAAATCGTTTGGCTGCCTCCTGGGAGAAGCCTATGTTGGTTTAAGCCCCAATTCACTGTATATTGAATGCTTACTGTGTTAGCTGAATCCCACTTTACATTATGCCAGCAGTTTTAGATCATTGGGTGGTAATGACAAGTAATGCTGTAGATAGTTTCAGTCATATAGGGTGCTTTGGTTTATTTGATCTGACAAATTGATGTAGCAACATAATATAGGTGGATTTGCTTGCTGTTCATGACTTTACTGGCCATGCTTCCAGTTGCGAGTTGAGGGGTATTCCTGTAACTTATTTGGTGGTTCTTTGTTATTCAATTCTCACTTTTTTAATGCTTTGTTAATTGCATTGAATTATGTTATGAACATCTATTTGACTCTGTTTAAATATATCCTGGTTGAAACAACAAATGAAATTGGTTTCTGCCTGTTTTTTAATGTTCAGGAAATTTGTTTGTGATGCCGTGTGTTTTTTGTAATAGTGTCACATAGGTCTTTCTACCTTTTGTTTGCAGTATTTCAGCTACAATGATTAAAGGTCTGTCTAAATTCACATCTCTATATGTATGTGAGAGTGCTAATACGAGACAGACAATATAGCATGTGACTTCATTTAAGCTAAATGGTGTCTATAGACATAAAATAGCTCTACTTCGGCTATGTTCAGGCACAAGAAATTGTGCAGCTGTTGAGGAATGACAGTCTTCAAAGTGTGCTGGTAAACAAGTACTAGGATGCAGACTTTCTGAACCACAGTGAAATTTGAGAAGTATAACATTCCCCCCTCCCTTCCTTGGGAAGTGTTCGATTGTTCACCTTGACTTTCGTGTTATTTTCTGAGAGTCTGTTTCATCTTTGTGGACTTTTTCGTAATTTGAGGGGTTTTGGTCAGGGTCAAGTGCTAATCAGTTGACTTCCAAAATGCATGTTTTCTTCCCATTTGTTTCTCTGGCAACTCAAGACATGCGAAAACTGGTCCTATTCAACAGACAAATTGCCTTCGGATTCATGTAGTTATTTTGAAGACTGCTAAATTGGGTGGTAACGTAGGTATAGTCTGTCATTGCTTGACACAAGTTTTCCTTATTACACCTTCGTATCTTCTTGTTACTTAGTTCTTAGATTATTCTAACTGCTTCTGTCATAATCCATAAATAGATATTCATCAGCTGCAGGAAAGTTCAGAAGATCTCTGCAATTTTATAATTGTTACATCAGGACAGTTGGTAGTTTCTCTTAGTGTTTCTCTATGGTAAGAGAGCTAAGTGCTAGTCCACTGTTAAAGTTTGCACTGATTGTTTAAAAAAAACGTGAGAGAATTTTTCATGTGACTATTGAAATGTTTATCCATGCTTGAGAAGCTGGAGTGTCTGGGCATAATGAGATACAAGAATAATTACTTTTCATTTCCTTCTAAAGGGACTTAAGATTGCAAGGTCTGAAGAATGAACTTTTGGAATCATAACTGAAAAGTGTCAGCAGTTTTGACATGGTTCCATTTGAAATTTCAGGCACAGGGTGGTGATGGACTTCTGCAACGAATCAAGAGAATAATCTATGATGCCAAGTCTACTGTAGTGGTAAGTTTTATTTTTTGTTAAATTAGATGGTGCCGTTGTCAATCAAGATGCAAATATTTTCAGAGGGTTCAGAAATATTTTTATGTTTATATTATATATATTGTGTATATATTATAGGTGTATATACATTAGGTTTAAAGCCAAATGAACTTCTTGACTAAAGTTTTTAACAATATTTTCCAGTGTGCTAAATATTCAACATATGTTAATTTCTTCATTTTTCACTCCTTTTCTGCATTAGTCTGACACATATTTTAAGGGATAGAACAGGGAGGATTCAAAATCTTTTCCATGACCCTTTTGACATCCTTTCACTGAAATTGATAGCACTTTCACATTCTGAGAAATGTTATGGTTTCAGTCTAACTAGTTAGAGCATAAGGGGATTAAATACTATAGAATCATAGAATTGTTAAGGTTGGAAACGACCTCTGAGATTGAGTCCAACTTGTTAACCTAACTGCCTGGTGCACCTCTAAACCATGTCCCTAAGCACCACGTCTACCCATCTTTTAAATACTTCCAGGGACTGACTGTACCACTTCCCTGGGCAGTCTGTTCCAATGCCTAACCACACTCTCTGTGAAGAAATTTTTCCTAATATCTAATCTAAATCTCCCCTGGCACAACATAAGCCTATTTCCTCTTGTCCTATTGCTTGTTACTTGGCAGAAGAGACCGACCCCCACCACAACACAACCTCCTGTCGTGGAGGTGTAGAGAAAAATAAGCTCTCCCCTCCATTTCCTCTTGTCCTATTGCTTGTTACTTGGCAGAAGAGACCGACCCCCACCTCACTACAACCTCCTTTCAGGTAGTTGTAGAGAGCAATAAGGTCTCCCCTCAGCCTCCTCCAAACTAAACAACCCCAGCTCCCTCAGCCACTCCTCATAAGACTTGGTCTTCAGACCCTACACCAACTTTGTTGCCCTTCTTTGGACATGCTCCAGCACCTCCAAGTCCTTCTTGCAGTGAGGGGCCCTAAACAGAACACAGTACTCGAGGTATGGCCTCACCAGTGCCGAGTACAGGGGCACTATCGCCTCCCTGGTCCTTCTGGCCACACTATTCTTGATACAGGCCAGGATGCTATTGGCTTTCTTGGCCACCTGAGCACACTGCTGGCTCATGTTTGGGTGGCTGTCAACCAACACCCCCAGGTCCTTTTCTGCCAGGCAGCTCTCCAGCCACTCTTCCCCAAGCCTGTAGCGTTGCATGGGGTTGTTGTGACCCAAGTGCAGAACCCGGCACTTAGTCTTGTTGAATCTCATACAGTTGGCCTTTGCCCATCGATCCAGCCTGTCCAGATCGCTCTGTAGAGCCTTCCTACCTTCAGACAGATCAACAGTCCCACCCAACTTGGTGTCATCTGCAAACTTACTGAGGGTGCACTCGATCCCCTCATCCAGATCATCAGTGAAGATATTAAACAGGACCGGCCCCAGTACTGAGCCCTGGGGAACACCACTGGTGACTGGCCAGCAACTGGATTTGACTCTATTCACCACCACTCTCTGGGCTCAGCCGTCCAGCAAGTTCTTTACCCAGCAGGGAGTGCCCTTATCCAAGCCGTGAGCAGCCATCTTCTCCAGGAGAATGCTGTGGGAGACAGTGTCAAAGGCCTTACTAAAGTCCAGGTAGACAACATCCACAGCCTTCCCCTATACTTGATGTAGTTTTAAAGCAAATATTTTTATCATCTTTCTTATAAGTTAATTATGCTTAACAGAATTTTATTTGGAAGATGTACACAAATCCATGTCTTCACTTGTCCTACACAAGCAAAAAAAAACCTGTGACATGAATTTAAATTGAAACTCACGTGTTTCTGTATGAGTGGCTTCCAAACCTCTGTGAATGTGCAACATGTAGCCATCAGTTTCTGAAACCAAAAGTCCTTCCTCCTGTGCCATTAAACTACTCTTTAATAGGAAGCTGTCTAGTAACATAATGTTTCAGCAGATCCCTTGTTACTCAAACTAATTTTTGACAATAAGACACAAACAAGGGGTGAAACTGGTTGCTTCAAAGTGTTAGTTTAAACTGTTAGTTTAACAATTGTTTCTCAAGCTTCACACAGTGAATAAGATACACAGTTGGCATGTTAACATTAACTATCCCAATGCAACATTGTAATATTTGAACTTCTAAGTCTTTTTCTATGAACATATACTAGGAATTGTTAAAATGAAGTCTTCTCCTCCTTTGTGGGGGGGGGAAAAAAAAAAAAAAACCAACAACAAAACCCCTGACTGTCATTTTAGAAGTTTCTGAATAAATACAGAGTAATAAGAGAAGTAATGCAGTAATTTTGTATATTCACTGAAAGTGTTCTTTACTTCAAATTTGTATTTCAACAGTCTGTGTTCAAGAGTTCACCACTTCTGGGATGCTTTCTCTTTGGGTTGCCCCTGGGGGTCATCAGCATTATGTGTTATGGAATCTGCACAGCTGATACAGATGGAGGGGTAGATGAACATGAGGCAGCTAAAAAGGAAAATGGTGATCGTGAGCTCACAGACGAAGGCAGTGAGGAAGAACAAGAGGAAGAAAAGAACGGAAAATATACAGAACTTTCAGATGGAGAGCTTAAACAGAAAGACATAATGGAAAAGAAAAAAGACTAACTTGTTTAGCAAAAGAATTCGCTAGAATTTCCAAATAGACTTATTTATTGAAGGTAGTCATTTATTGATGATCTTCATGAAAGAGGACCTTTTTGTCTGCATTATGGTAGTTTTGACTTGCATGTATTCAAATTTTATCAGAAATTGACAGGAAAAAAAATTATGGATGTTCTCTTAATTGTCTTTAATAGATCAACAAAGAGCAATTTAAACGGAAGAAATTTGCAGGTACAGTTCTACACCGTTTTTTTTTTAAGAGTTTTGTATTGGTCATTTCCAGAACAGTGAGATAATGTTACTTGACCTTAGTGTATGTCATGAACTACTGCTAATGTAGCCCAGCTGAACACTCATTTGTATAAAATTAAGCCTGAAAACTAAGAAGGATTAAGAGATCTGTAAAGTCTTTCAGAGCCTGATAGCTAAAGACAGCTTAAGAGTTTTCCAAGAAGTCATGTGTTCTGCCTGTTGCACATTATTTTGGAAAAAAAAAAATCCCAAACTTTTCTATTTTCTTAAGTTAAATGTAAATTGTTAGGAATTGGAGGACTGTTTTACCATGTAATAACATAATTATTGGCAGTCAGGAATGTTTACTTGATATAAGATGTGGGAGTTATATGCTAAATTAAGTCTTTATTAGCGCTTTAGCAGCTAAAAATATTGGAAAACTACATTATAAACCTTTTAGAACACGATTGCCTGTTAAATTGTTTTGTGTGAGTGCTTACACAAACTTATAGTGAAAATGATCTTTAAGTTTTCTGAATCCACAGTACAACTTTGATAAAGGAAGATGTAAATATAAACACCCTTTCACTATTTTGCGTAACTCTCTAATGACAAGCTTTTTGAAGGGTGTAAATTTGTTTTACAGTGTTTAATTCAGATTGTTATATATCTTTGAAGTAGTTGGTGTTGATACTTTTGTTTGAGACTGTTACCTACTCTGAAGAAGGGAGTTAATGGAGCATAATAATAACGTTCATAGAGATTGTTCAGTATAATGCATTTTTTTACCTGTTTAATCATAAAAGTCACTTTTAATACAACCCTGTGACTGAGAAAAGGACTAATTTATATCCAGGGTTAAAATCTCCAAGGATAAGCCATAAAGCAGCCTTTGGCATCGATGTCAGGGAGAGTACCACAGAAACAAAACTGGCATTGCTCTTCCTCTTAGTATTCATGTTGGGTTGTTTGTTTGGTTTTTGTTTTGTTTTGTTTTTTTAAGGCTATATTACTGTACAATATAGATTATGATGTCCTCCTTATAAGGCAGCTTGATCACATAAGAAATTACTATGCTATAGCACTAAATTAAGTAATTTTAAATAAAAAACATGGGTAGGCTTAAATAGACAAGTTCTGTGTTTGAGTAAACTTGATGATGATATAAATCATAACCAGGAAAAATGTATTGCATCCTTTTTCCTTGTAGGAAAGAAACTTATTTCTTCTGTTTAAGTAGCTTGGTAACAGCTGGCTTCATGTTGCAGTGCAGAGTACAGTAAGTAGGTGCCTGACTTCAAGGCTCTGTTGTGAAACGGTATAAACAATATCTAAGGAGATTAGAAATTTTTTTTAGAAAAATTCCATGTCTGATTTTGAGTCCAATGTTTTTCTGCTTGGGAAGAGAGGAAAAAAGCCAAGTTCACTGAATACTGAGTAGCAGGTGTCTGGTATGGGTTTTTTTCCCATTTTAATTTTCTCCTTTTTTTCATTTTTTGTTGTTATAGCTAGTTGTACATAGTGACTTGAGTTTTCTTGCTTTTTGATTTTATTTTATTGTTTCGGCAGAATCTTTGAGATGTAGTTTTAGCATATATTTGAAGAGTGAGATGCTTAAAAATGTGTTTAGGAAGTGTTTTAACATGGTGTAGAGCTCTTGAATTGTTTGAAAAAAAATAAAAATAAAAAATCACTGAATGACAAGCCTGTGAATTTCTTTGGAGTTTCACACGACTCAGTGCTGATAGTCAAAATGTAGGACTATTAAGGCAGTAATATGTTTTCTTGATTTGTCTATTAAGACTTGAAATACAGATCAGTTACATATTTAATTTTGGCTCAGGCTGGAAACCTGCAGCTTTTAACTTAATAAAGAAACTGAAGCGGTCACTGGAACACTGCTGTTCCTTCTATGGCATGTAATAAAAAACAATTCTGAATTCTGCTGCACTGCTAAGAACTGTTTCAACTATGAGCCTTCATTTTTGTGGTTATTTTTGTTTGTGTTTATAATCAGTAGTAGCCAAACAACTTGTTGAGAAATCTGAGATATGGACCTGTATATGATAAATACTGTGTAAGAAACAGATCACACTGGGATCTGTTAAAACTGTAATGCTCAACTGCTAGAGTTAAGAGGAAAACATGTCTCAGTCGCTTCTGAACTGTAATATCAATCAGATGTGTACTGAACTGTTGAAAATTAAACTTAGAAAAGTACTACCATTTTCACCAAATCCTTCTCCCAGCTATATTCAACAAGATACGGGGAGAAAAAAAGCATACAAGTCATATACCGGGTGTCAGAACTGATGTGAAATTAAGAGTTTTGCTGTGGTCATGCAAGTAATCTAGAATGCTGTCTGAGGGGGGATCTGGCATTTTATTTTTTTCCTCAGTCTCTAAAGGTTTCTTAAAGCAACTTCACTGTAATAACTTTGAATTCACTAAATAATGCTGCTTTTTTTAAGTCAAGTGTAAGCCTTTTGTTTTTCTGTAATAAAAACATTTAAAAGAGCTTGTTTCCTTTGCTTAATTTACACTGTGTTGAGCTTAGATACTACATATTGTGTAGGAGGCTGTGTCTCCTGGGACACTCATAAGCATACTTTAGGCCCTGAGTAACACAGTAAAGAAACGCAGCTGGTAGCTTTTAAGAAGAAAAATTAGTTCATCCTGTCTGATACCTTCTTGACAATATTTTGAAAATACTCCCTAGAAGTAGGAGTTAATGTTTACTTGTCTTTTATTTAGTGAGCATTCTAGCAGTATAGAACTAATGCATTTCTGAAACAGAAATTTTAAAATACCAGTTCATTCCATTAGCATACTCTCAAATTCTTACAAGAGTTTAGTAGAAAAGGGAACCTGAGGCAGACTGTTCTAGTATACATTTTCTTCTGGAAGAACTTGCGTAGCCTTGAGACTTGGACGTGCACAATCTTACTGCTTCATTATTTACCTAGGCTGTTTTAACAGATACTGTCCACACTGTGGTGCTCACTGCTTAAAGGATGGAATGGTTACACTCTGCTAGATCTGATGTGTTGAAGATGGCACAGAAGTGCTTAATTAATTTGAAGTATTTAAGTAAGAAGTTTAGCTGGCTCTGTCTTGGCCCAGAACTAGTTTACCCCGTTCCTTTCTTGTCAGCATGTCTGAAGAAGTGGTTGTACTTGGAGGAGTGGGAGGGTGGAGAGTTGTTCTGATGACAGCCAAAAGCTCAAGTTGGTGAAAAGGGTGCAAAACCAGAATGCACTTCCCTTAAGCTGTTAAAATCTCATGAGACTACAGGTGTTTCAGGTTGTATTATAATATGACAGAGTGGTACTGGCTCTCAAGTCTTCTCAGGAAGCAAAGCAGCTTTCTGCTGTTTTGTTCTCATCCCTGAGTACATTGCCAACAGATTGAATCGTATGAAGCTGTTGCATGTTGTATTGCTGTAATTGATGAAGACAATTTTGACAGTATTGTGTTGAACGCTTTGTTGAACTCTTAACTTGAAAGGTTTTTGTCGTCTGCCTAGGCAGTGTAGACGTTCCTGAAACAGTTCTATCTCTCTGATTTCTGAAATTTTAACCGTTTTAAAGGATTACTGCTACTATCCTGTGTATCAATTTACTGACATAAAGCACCATTTAGCAGCTGATGTGAACTCTCCTGTTGATAGCAAACTTCCTTCTGCTTATACACCGAGGAATACAGAAATGTTTGCAGTTGTTTAGCAAGGATAAATAGACTACAAGTATTTTACATAAAGCATTTTTGAATGGAGTATTGTGGCTTTTAACAATAAAACCTGAAAGATCTAGGAGGCTCTTTGAAGAGGAGCAAGGAAACCTTTAAGACGATTACTAATTGAGAGGAATAGTATTGCTTTCTCCATAAGTTTAGATTGGAGAAGAGAGAAAACATCACTGAATGAGTGTGTAACTTGACAGCTTATTTGTACTGAAAACGGTTTTGCTTTTCTAGCGAGTGCTTCTGTCATTTCACTTTCATTGCCTCACTTCTAGTACTCAGTAGCCCCTGTTGCAAGGTTGGTGTAGTCTTCAGCTGGGTTAGTGACTGTCCTGCCCAAAATGGTGGGTGGTGTTAGGCTGTTTTGAGTTAAGAGATTGAAACTTTGGTAAGCACTAAGGCTGACACATGAAGGGGGTGAAAATGCATAGGCAGGAGAAATGGGAATGGGAGAAGGGAATGGAGCAGGGCCATGTATTCTCATATCTGTGTCTTATGTTTTGATATAGATGAGCTACATTTAATATACATGTATAGCTAGTGGGAGTTTAAGTCCTTCCAAAAGAAATTCTTGTATCTCCATTTACTTTACAGAGAGCCTTTGGCTGGATAAGTTTGCCTGACAGAGCAAGTAGCATTACTACCCAATCAAGGTTACTTATGGATGTTTTTGCTGTTTCTCAGCAGAAACATATACTCCAAGTCACTCAAAATAACATACTTTAATGTTCGTTTGTTTGAAACAAAAAGCAAAACCCAACTCTCTTTCATCTTAGGTTGCTACACCACTACTTTAAAGGAATGATAACTTAGAGTATATTTAAATTCTTACAAAGGTGGCAACTTGTAGTCTTAATGCTTTCAGGACTTAGATTGATCTAATCAATAGTGATTTGTATTTTCATCTTAAAGAAGTGTTGGGTTTTTTTCAAATAATAAAAAAAATATTGCAACAGTTGCTGCAATTTCATTCTTTTTACTTGATTAGTGAATGTTGACTCTTAATCCAAACCAGACAATGTGCTGTTCATAGACTGTAAAAACTTTAAGTGACTCAATATTAAAAGAAAACAAAAAGACTTTGGGACTTCAGTACGTAAGTTTTTAATCCCCTCTCAATGTAATTTTTTTTCTTCTATACTTGAGTCATTTTGACTTAGAACTGACTAACTCTTTAG